TGTAATTCATCTGGAAGATAAAATGCTGAAATCTGCCGAGAAAATTTTGAAAAATAACAAAGGCAACCTGCACTATCAACAATGAGAAAGTAGCTCATAAAGCTGTATTACTTAAAGCAGTGTCATACTGGCATATGAATAGACAAATAGATCAGTGAGCTAGAATTGAGAATATAGAATTAAACCTAAATATTTAACTGAGAGCATGGTGTCTCTTTAAAGATGTCAACTGAAATCCATAGGGAAAGGATAGACCGTTTATTTGCAAAGACAATGAGCTAATCTGTCTGGAAAAAATGAATTATATCTTCCCTTCACGTCATTTTATAAAAGTAAGTGGATTTAAGGTTAATATGTTTTTTTTTTTTTTTGAGACGAAGTTTCACTGTTGTTACCCAGGCTGGAGTGCAATGGTGCCATCTCGGCTCACCGCAACCTCCGCCTCCTGGGTTCAGGCAATTCTCCTGCCTCAGCCTCCCGAGTAGCTGGGACTACAGGCGTGCGCCACCATGCCCAGCTAATTTTTGTATTTTTAGTAGAGACGGGGTTTCACCATGTTGACCAGGATGGCCTCGATCTTTTGACCTCGTGATCCACCCGCCTCGGCCTCCCAAAGTGCTGGGATTACAAGCGTGAGCCACCGCGCCCGGCCTGGTTAATATGTTTTTTAAAACTATAGAAGTAGTAGAAGGAAACGTTGGGAAGTATGTTTATAATTGGGTAGTGCAATAGCTCTTTTTAAACAAAATACAAAACACAAAGGTTTTAACAAAAATAACCCAAATCTATTGTATAGTTTAACTTTATCTTATATAGTTACATAAATATAAAAGATATTTTTGTAATCTTAAAAGATATTTTTAACAATAAAAGATTAAAAACTAGGGTCTGGCGCAGTGGCTCACGCCTGTAATCCCAACACTTTGGGAGGCCAAGAGGCCAAGAGGAGCTGATCACCTGAGGTCAGGAGTTTAAGACCAGCCTGGCCAACATGGTGAAACACTGTGTCTACTAAAGTAAAAAAATCTGCCGGGAGTGGTGGCACATGCCTGTAATCCCAGCTTCTAGGGAGGCTGAGGCAGGAGAATCGCTTGGACCCAGGAGGCAGAGGTAGCAGTGAGCCAAGATCACACCATTGCACTCCAGCCTGGGACAAAAAAAGAGACTCTATCAAAAAAAAAAAAAAAAGAAAGAAACTGCAACATAAGATAAAGTTAAAATATACAATAGATTGGGAGAAAATATTTTTAACATATAATAGATAATGGCTTACTATAGGGATAATAAAAATAATACTTATAAATCAATAGAAAAATATAATAAAAAAATAGACAAAGGCTATGAACAAACAATTCACAGAAGAGAAATACAAATGAATAAACACATGAATCGGGGAAATGCGAATTCAAACAAGCAACTTTTTTTCAGCTATAGATTGGATCCACCTTAAACACAGGTTGAAACAAGATACCCGTTTTTTGCCCATCAAAGTGTCCAGAATGTGAAAGATTAATAATGTCAATTGTTAATGAGGGTGAGGAAGACAGGCACTTTCATTAATGTAAATGGACCCATCGTTTTTAGAAGGCAACCTGGCAGTATCTACAAAATGTAAAATACACACACCTCTCAGTTCCATCACAGTGTCTTCTGTATGCCCTCTCATCAGGCTTCCTAGGAGGAGAGAGCAAAAACTGCCATGTTTCTTAAGGGCCAGGCCTAAATTGGCATGGCAATCCTTCTGCCACCTTCTGTAACCCCAGACAAGCCACAGGCCAGTCCAGATCACAGGGAGAGAATCTGGCTACTAGCAGAAGATGGAATATGTGGAATGATCGGCAGCTATATTTTCAGAAAAACTACCACATAGATAGAAACAGCATATTGCTTCATGTACCACTTTAGCAGCATTTCTTCGGTGTTTGTTTATATAAATTTCAAAATATTCTATTGCTTTGATACATATTTCCTTCCCAACCTAAACCATGAGACTGGGCACCTATTCATTGTTTTTTGTTTCTTGTGGCTGTAAATAAGTTATATAAACAAACAATTATACATTGAACCCCACCATAGTACATGCAGTTTAAAAATTTAATTTCATAAACTCTGATGTTGTATTATGAAGTTAATTAAAAACAGTGTTTTATCAATAGGTGGTATTATAAAATTAAACCTTGTGAGACTTCCACTGTTTATAATTGACCTTACATTGAACTGAGAAAGTCCCAAGTGATTCTGAGGCAATTGATCCCTAACACACACACACACACACACACACTCTTGAAAAATATTGCACCCCATTCTGAGAATGGGGTTAGGTAGACTGGAAAGTGGACAGTAGCCAAACGCCAATCATGTAATAGCTGAATTCACATTATTATGGCACATATTATTTTTCAATATATATCTGTATATTTTAAAAACATTTGTCCTTTTAGATTTACTAAGTGTGTCTATATTCTGTTCATTGAAGCAAATCTCCCCTAGGTGTGTAATATACGTCCAGTGCTCTGGGGATAGAGCTGGAGGTGAATGAGCAGTGGGAGGGGTTTGCTTGAAAAGAGCTTCTAAAGTAATCCATCCACCTGGGTGCTGGGACAGAGCTGTGCACGGAGAGGGGGCAACTCCTCCAGCAACCTGGCTGGAAGTGAGTCCTGAAAAACAAGTAATAGCCTGGTCCAAAGAAACACTGGGTGTGAAAGAGCATTCCAGTCAAAGGAGACAGCTTGAGCAACGACTTCTCAGATAGAAGTAGTTCAACACCATGTGCACCTGTTCTGGCTGAAGCTGGGGCTGGTGGTTTAGGTTTGTTTGAGCTTAGGCAGAAAGTTAAGTGAGCACAAGGGTGTAGATGGCCTCCTAGGCCAAGTGAAGACCCATGTAGTGCCGGGCAGGGGCCAGGCTTGTGTGTTGAGATCATCCCTCCATTGACAGGTGGATGATGGATTAGGTGAGAGCAAGACTAGAGACTAGGAGGCTGCCAAGACTCTGAGGAGATGACTAGACCCTAAACTGGGAATGTGGCATCAGGACGGTCACATGTGTCATCATTATGTGTGAAATCTGTGAATAGCCAAAAGGAAATTTTACTTTATTCTTTCGTTCTGTTTTCTGAGATTGTATTCTAAACATGATCAGAAGGTAGGCATATGAAATTTACTCATTCTTCTGACATTTTTAAGCTCAGCATATTTCCATTTTTAATTTATATTATAAACAAAATTTTCTTTAAACTTTCCTCCAGGAGTGATCAAAAGTTTGATTTCTTGGATAGTCTTCCCTCTATGCAAAACTTATTATCTAACTTGGCAGTCTGAAATCCTTTATAAATTCTGTAACTAAATCTTACATAGTGTTCAGTTGTCCAATTGACATTTTTATAAGTTTGCTTTTTGTTACTGTCATAATCCACTCAGCTCTTATAAATGCCTTTGCCCGCTTTCCAAATGCCATGGCTTATGCAGTGATATTTGCACCTGAGGTGTTATGCTGGCAAGTGGCTTCATGTCCTTAAGGTCTTAAAATACCTCTCCTCTCTCCTTCCCTGCCCTGAAAAGGAAGCTTGTCTGGGAACTGGTTTGCTTAAGGTGGTAGCTTCACTTCTCTTAATTTTGTGTAGATGTAATTAATTACACACACATACAAGGAGTAAATCAAAGAAGGGTTTTGGGGATCATCTGGTTCTGAGAGAAATGATAGGCAGGAATTGACAAGTAGGTTAAGGTAAATCCTTAATAAAACACTCACCACTGCCATATAGTACAGAGGGAAATGATGCCACTACCATTTAATATTATATAACTCCAGTTTATATAGGATACGAATCCTGGACAACCATCAAGCTTAGGCCAAAAGCCATGGAAGAGAAACCAGCAGCAGTTTCAGTAAATGGAGTCATCTTGTACTGTGGTTGTAAACCATAATCATTTCTGGCCGGGCGCGGTGGCTCAAGCCTGTAATCCCAGCACTTTGGGAGGCCGAGACAGGTGGATCACGAGGTCAAGAGATCGAGACCATCCTGGTCAACACGGTGAAACCCTGTCTCTACTAAAAATACAAAAAATTAGCTGGGCATGGTGGTGCGTGCCTGTAATCCCAGCTACTCAGGAGGCTGAGGCAGGAGAATTGCCTGAACCCAGGAGGCGGAGGTTGCAGTGAGCCGAGATCGCACCATTGCACTCCAGCCTGGGTAACATGAGTGAAACTCCGTTTCAAAAAAAAAAAAAAAAAAATCATTTCTTAGTTGTAATTGGAACATCTTCTCTTCCCAGTAATTAACTATTTGTGATTCTTGCATTTCCTACCAACGCCTAGAGTCACTCTGTGTTTTTACAATGGACAGTTGTCAGCGAGGCTTCATGCCTTGCTTAGGCTAACAAGCCTTTATCCTTAATCAATCCAGCAAATATTTACACTGCACTGCCCTTACAGCACATTCTCTGGAGCATACAGTGGTGCCCTCACCCCACAAGGCACTTACGGGCTCTTAGAGGAGTTTGCAGCCCTTCCCAGCATAACTGAGAGCAGCAGGTTTGGCTGATGGAGTAACCGCTGTAGCTGTAGCCTGTCTTGTTAGGGAAAGAAGTGAGCATTTCATGAGCGTAGGCGCTGTGCTATTTCATGTACATCCACTCATTTAATAATAAGCTAACCTGTGAAGTTAGAATGTGTTCCAAATGTATCACTTGCTTTTTATTCTATATTAGGGAAATAACCCATGTTGAATTACTTAACAGTTACCCTAAATTGAAATCCTCTCTTTATATACATGTCCTGGTTGATTTCTAAAGCTAATCTGATGCAGAGTATATTAGTCAATGGGGAAAGGCGGTAAATCATGGCACGGATGTAACGTAATAAAAACCTCATGTTTATGTTTTGTGTGCAGAATGTGCGAGGAAAAAACTTAAATAGGTTGAAAGACTTTTGCTAAAAGATTTTTCAGAACATTGCTCAAGGAATGTACAGAAAATTGACTTCCCTTGTCCTTTCTTTAGATACATTCCACCGTTGATCTGGGGGAAAAGTGGACACATCCAGACAGCCTTGTATGGGAAGATGGGAAGGGTGAGGTCGCCACATCCTTACGGGCACCGGAAGTTCATCACCATGTCTGATGGAGCCACTTCTACATTCGACCTCTTCGAGCCCTTGGCTGAGCACTGTGTTGGAGGTGAGCTGCTTTAGGTTGTGTAATTGGGCCATCATGCGGAGGAGGAGCCCTAGTCGGTGGAGAGCACAGCACGGTGTGAACACTCATGCCACTGACTTGGCCCATGGCTTCGGGGAGCTGTTGGACAGCATAGCATGAATACTCGTGCCACTGACTCTGCCCATGGCGTCAGGGGCTGTTGGACAGCATGGTGTGAATACTCGTGCCACTGACTCCACCCGTGGCGTCGGGGGCTGTTGGGAAGTCTGCCGGCATTCAGCGCTTAGGAGCCACTCGCAGTTAGCTTCAGCGTGTATTTGCCAGTCACCATGTAAGGCTCTTCAGAACTCACTGTAGAATAGTTTTTAATCCTCTTGTGAAATAGGGAAATTTGATGTAAGGGGATTAGGGAGTGCTTGGAGCCCAGGCACCCCAGGACCAAGCCTCTGGGTTGATGACAGCAACAGAGGCCAGACCGTTCTCAGTGCTTCATATGTACTGTTACCTCCTTTAATCCTCAACACTGTGAGGCTGGTATTTACTATCGCTGTTTTACTGATGAGGAAAGTGAAGCTCGGAGATGCAGTATAGGCTGGCGCTTGTTGGATAGCAGTAGATAAAAAGGATGTCCAGTTCCCTTTGCTTAGCTTTCCCTGGACAAAAAGACACATTAAGGTCATTATCTATCATGCAATGGTCTAGGACACCTAATTTCTGAGAAACAACTGAAATTTTCATTGCTGCTGGAATTTGGCGTTGTTCTGTCTAGCCTGTACAGTAAGCATTCATTATAAAATGTTTCATAATGAAGACTTTTGAGGAAGTGGGGTTAGGTGCATGCATCTGTTTGAATGTTATTTCTACCAGAAGAGAACATGTCTTTTGCATTCTGTAGTATTCAAAAGCACCTAGTTTTTTTGTGTGGTTTTTCTTATTGTTGTTGTTTTTGTTGTTGTTTTTTTAATAGGAGCTCAGTATTTATTTATGGGTAAACTCCAGGAAACATATTAGATATTTAAAGTGGCTAGAACTGCTGAGTAGCTGGTGAAGAAGATTTAATTGGTATTCCCTCTGCCTGGAATACTGGTCCCCAGACCTTCACATGGCAGCCTCCTCCTGTCATTCATGTCTCAGCTCAAATGCCACCTCCTGAGGGTCTGTCCCTAACTCCCCTAACTAGTGTCTCCTCAGTAAATTCATCTTGCCTTCCTGCTCTAATTCTTCATGGTAGCTTCTACTCTCTAAACCTATTTGTGTGCTTGTGTATTATTTATCTGCTAGAATGTAGGAATCCCTGGAGTCCAGAATAGCTGGCTTCTAATAAACAGTCATGGAAGGGATGAATAAATGAACAGGCGAGGAGCTCACATTGTGTTTATAAATCTGTAGCTGGTCTTTCCAATATTTATTTATCCACCATACCCAGTTAAATATTTTCTTCCCCTTATTTCTAATGCTTTTTCTTCTTCTACCACTAAAGCACAAAGTTTAGTTTGACCATCTGCTCTTCCTACCAAGACCAATATGGGAAGTTGAAAAGGGCAGAACAGTGATTCTCCCTTTTATTTGCTCATGATTTTCTGTCACTCCTGCCCTCAGAAATGATTGACAAAGGTGATTCTGGGGAAGGCAGTACTTATACCTAAGACGTACGCTGAGAAAGCAGCCCTTTTTCCCCTTTTCTGATTTTTTTCTGACTATAAAAGTAATAAGAAAATCCACATTTTCTCATTTTAGAAAACATGGATAATACATTTAAAAAAGAATCACCCACAATTTTACCACCCAACATATATTGTTAATGTTTTGCTCCATTTTCTTATAGTTCTATGCATTATTTTTCCAAAATTTGAATTATCATACATTATATTATAAAGACTTTCCCATGTCATTAAAACTGTAAAAGTCTTCAAAAACACAATTTTAATGATTACTCAATATTCTACAATGTGGTCATACCTTAATTTAACCATTCTTCTCTAGTTGGGCATTTAACTTATTTAACAGCTTTGTCACTATCAATAATTCTATCATCCTTCATCAGAAAATTCTAGGCAGAATTTCAAGAATTGGAATTTACTAGGTCAGAGTTTATTCATTTTATAAAGAGATGGAGTCTTACTGTGTTGCCCAGGTTAGAGTAAAGTGTCTGTTCACAGATACAGTCATTGTGTTCTACAACCTTAAACTACGGGGCTCAAGTGATCCTCCTGCCTCAGCCTTTCAAATAGTTGGAAGACAGATATGTACCACCACATCCAGCTGTTCACAAAAATTTTTAAGGTTCTTTATGCATATTGCAAAATTGCTTACTAATTCCTATTTCCCTACCAGCATTAAGAATTTCTAAATTTTAAAAAATCTTAATTTGAAGAAAAATAATGATCAAATTTAATGACCTAAACACCCCTTTTTTTAAAAAAAAAAAAGAAAAATATAGGCTGGGCGTGGTGGCTCATGCCTTTAATCCCAGCACTTTGGGAGGCCAAGATGGGTGGATCACGAGGTCAAGAGTTCAAGACCAGCCTGGCCAAGATGGTGAAACCCCATCTCTACTAAAAATACAAAAATTAGCTGGGTGTGGTGGCAAGCACCTATAATGCCAGCTATTCAGGAGGGTGAGGCAGAGAATAGCAGAGGCAGAGGTTGCAGTGAGCAGAGGTTGAGGTTGAGGCAGAGGTTGCAGTGAGCCGAGATTGCACCACTGCATTCCAGCCTGACCAACAGAGTGAGACTCCCCCTCACAAAAAAAAAAAAAAAAGAAAAGAAAAATATAGGCCGGGCACGGTGACTCACACCTGTAATCTCAGCACTTTGGGAAGCCGAGGTGGGCGGATCGTGAGGTCAGCAGATCGAGACCATTCTGGCCAACATGATACAAAAAATTTGCTGGGTGTGGTGGCACACACCTGTAGTACCAGCTACTCAGAAGGCTGAGGCAGGAGAATCTCTTAAACCTGGGAGGCGGAGGTTGCAGTGAGCCAACATTGCACCACTGCACTCCTGCCTGGCAACAGAGCAAGACCCTGTCTCAAAAAAAAAAAAAAAAAAAAAAGAAAAAGAAATATTCATATTCTGAAGTAGGCAGTTCAGAGTCATGATAGAAAGTTCACAAGGTACTAACAATATACAGTGAAAGTGTCTCTCTCTCTGTCCTCTGCTTTCCATCCTACACTCCCTCAGTGGTACCCACTGTCAAGGTTCTTGTGTGTGATTCCAAAGATAGTGGATGCATTGATAAATATAGACATCTTTTTTTTTCTCCACACAAAAGGCAACATTATTATAACCCCTTTCTGCATTGAGCATTTTTTCACTTAATTTATGGGAGAGCTTGCCACATTAGTGTATATAAAAATGTCTCATTATTTTTAAGGGCTTTATAATATTTCATCACTTAGATATGCAGTAATTTATCCAATCAGACCCCTATTTCTGGGCATTTACATTATATTCAATCATATGCAAAAGAATATGTATTCTATGATTGAACACAGCCTAATACATATATGTACATTATATATCCGTAGGACATTATTTTACATATGTACAATTATATATCTGTAGGACAAATACTGAAAGTAAAATTGCTGGGTCAAAGAGGTCTGTGCAAACACCACTTTTTATTTTTTCATTTATTCATTCATATAGAATTTCTTACAGAAATTAATAGTAATGTTCAGGAACTTCTATAGAAAGGTGAGATAATATATTTGTCAAATCTTATAATAGAAATTTGAGGTTTATATATTTTTCATTTCATTTTTCTAGTAATTAATTTTTATTGTCTTTTTCAAAAGTGTCTGTTCCTGATTTACTGGACATTTTTAAAACCAACCCTTCACTATAAATAGCTTAAGAAGCACTGATATAGACAGCTCCAGCTAGAAGGGAAAGATTCTTTCCCAGAGAATTGAATGAAAAGATGTATATTGAATGAAAAGATGTATGTTAAAGTCCCTCCCCCTGTTTTCTAAGCCAGTGAAGCGTAATTGTGTCCATTTATCATGTCACATTTATTGGATACATCAGGATCTCTTTCTCCACCCTATAGATGATATCACCATGGTCATCTGCCCTGGAATTGCCAATCACAGCGAGAAGCAATACATCCGCACTTTCGTTGACTATGCCCAGAAAAATGGCTATCGGTGTGCCGTGCTGAACCACCTGGGTGCCCTGCCCAACATTGAACTGACCTCGCCACGCATGTTCACTTATGGTAAGCATGGCTCTGTGGAGTCCTCCCTTTTTCTGCAAGTGTGCTGCTACTTCTGCTTCTGCCTTGTTTTTTTAAGTTTTAAACCTATGCCCATCTGCAAGAGATGGTAGATCACACAGTTATATCAACAGCCAACTTGTAGTAGGCATTGATGATGCCATACCTCACACCAGCCTTTGAGGTAGGCACTGTAACCACCCTATCTCACAGAGGCAGAAACCGAAGCTCACAGGGGAAGGTCTTGCCCAAGGTCCCCTAGCTAGTAAGAGTCACAGCAGGGCTGGGAGCCAGGTAGATTAGGTAGCAGAGCTCATGCCCTTCAGGACTGTGCTATTCTGAAGCTCATTCCTCGGGACTCTTATGACTGGCAGGCAAGGGTGTGATGAGCCTTTGAATGTCAGTGGGAAGGGAACCTGGCACAGTAGCAACTCATTGGATTTTAGGTTCCTAGGGGACAGAAACCAGATCTCGTATTTAGACAAATGCTTCTTGATTTGAATTAAAATTGTGTGTTAGCGGGGCCAGGTGTGGTGGCTCATGCCTATAGTCCCTTCTCTAGTAATTAATTTTTATTGTGTTTTTCAACAGTATCTGTTCGTGACTTACTGGACATTTTCAAAACCAACCCTTCACCATAAATAGTGCACTTTGGGAGGCTAAGGCAGGTGGATCACTTGAGGATAGGAGTTTGAGACAAGCCTGGCCATGATGGCAAAACCCTGTCTCTTACTAAAAATAGAAAAATTAGCTGGCACATGCCTGTAATCCCAGCTATTCAGGAGGCTGAGGCACAAGGATCGCTTGAACCTGGGAGGCAGAGGTCACATCACTACACTTCAGCCTGGGCAACAGAGTGAGACTCTGTCTCAAAAAAAAAAAAAATCCTGTGTTAGCTAAGTTCTGGCTTCTGGACTGCTCATTCTTGATTCTTATTAGCTCTCTCTTTAGATTATATATGCACACATAAATAATAAACACATAAAATATGCATCTGTATAAGCACAAATGTTTGGGATATTATAAGCAAATAAATTGTAATATTTTTAATGGGAAATAACCAAAAATTATATCTGTCGTCTCACTAGAATTTTCTACTTCTTCAAACTACTCTTTTGTCTTTATCAATGTATGCATAGTTTTTATTTATTGCAGTCATAGCATTTATATCTATGGCGATTTTTTTTTTTTTTTTTTTTGGAGACGGAGTTTTGCTCTTGTTACCCAGGCTGGAGTGCAATGGCGCGTCTCGGCTCACCGCAACCTCTGCCTCCTGGGTTCAGGCAATTCTCCTGCCTCAGCCTCCTGAGTAGCTGGGATTACAGGCACGCGCCACCACGCCCAGCTAATTTTTTGTAGTTTTAGTAGAGATGGGGTTTCACCGTGTTGACCAGGATGGTCTCGATCTCTTGACCTCGTGATCCACCCACCTCGGCCTTCCAAAGTGCTGGGATTACAGGCGTGAGCCACCACGCCCGGCCTCTATGGTGATTTTTAAAAATAACTTTATATTCACCAACATAACGATGTTTAACCTTTTTAAGAGCCACATTGCTGTTACTACTCTATTATAGTTTATTTAACCATTTATCTTTGTAGGACATATGGCTTATTTAAAGTTTTTTGCATTTTAAATAACAACACTGTAAATTCTGTATCTTGTACATGGAATTATTTTTTCTTAATGACCTTGGAGTAAATTCCCAGTAGAATTGTGGAGTCAACATTTTTTAATGCATATTTGCACATCTTGTCAGATTGACCTCCAGCAAGGTCATTCCAGTTACATTGCCATTGGTAATGTGCAATGGTGCCGTCTCCATAAGGGCAGGAAAGGGAAGGTCACAGACATGGAATCATGAACAGGTACACCCGCTTTGTGCCAAGCAGGATGCTGGGCACTCTGTGTTCATTTCCTCTTCTGTATTCACACCCACAGCTGAAGATACCCATTTTATAGACTCTGTTCTGTTCAGCAGTTTGGTCAGTAGCTTGAAAATATAGGTGAATATCCAGATTTACAGATAACACAGGTGCATGGGGAATAGTGAGTACATGGGAGACAGAATTGGACCCAAAAGTCAGAAATAGGCCAAGTCAAACACAAAGGAAACAGTGGGGAATAATGATAAGGTCTGCATTTGGATATTTAGAACGTCTATCCAAGTAGAATATGGAGAGTCATGGCTCGGCTGCCGGGCCAGGATGGAGACTTGGGAGCATTAACAGTACAGTGTGCCAACAATAATACAAGAAACGCCAGTGAGAATACTTAATGTACACCAGACACAGTGCTGATGTCACATGTAGTAGGCACAATCTCTTATCTCTACAGCAACCCGTGGGACAGTAAAATTCTGTTGAAAAAACTGAGGCACAGAGACGTGAAGTGTTTTGGGCAGGGGCATAGAGCCAGTAAGGAGAATAGCTGAGGAGCTTGGATCTGGCTGCCAGAATCATCTCTGAGATAGCAGAGTAGCTGGGTCTGTATGGTCTAGGCCTCCCACCCCCAGAGTGCTATCCTGTGGAGCTGTAGACCAAAGAGACCAGATTGGAAGGCATTACCACTCCTGGTCAGGGGAGTGCAGCAGCCGAAGCAGCAGCAAGGAGTAGGCTAAGTGCAGCCCATGCTCACAGAGAGTACCCGGGTCAGGAGACAGGCTCTGCACCCGATACCCCAGCCCTGCCACTGACGCTGTGTGGCCTCGAGCAGTTTCTTAAACTCAGTTGCAGATTCTTCAGCTGTTTTAAGGTGGAGCTACTATTAAATGTGGGTTACTGAGGATTTGGCAAGCAGTTGATTAACATATAGTAAACATTTATTATATGTTAGGTTCATTCTTTTTGGGTTTTTTTGAGGCAGGGCCTCACTCTGTCACCCAGGAGGGAGTGAAGTGGAGCAGTTGTGGCTCATTGCAGCCTCAACCTCCCAGATTCAAGCGATCCTTCTGCCTCATTTTTAAATTTTTTGTAGAGACAAGGTCTCACTATGTTGTCCAGGCTGGTCTTGAACTCCTGAGCCCAAGCAGTCCACCCATCTTGCCCTCCTAAACTGCTGGGATTACAAACCTGAGCCATGGTGCCAGCCAGGTTTATTCTTATTCAAATACTTGAAGGTGTATTAATATTGGTGAGAGATTAGCCATGCTCTTTGTGACTCAGATGTGTTCTGCAGGGGAGAGTATCATTAAAGAATTACAATATAAGGCTGGGTGCGGTGGCTCACACCTATAATCCCAGCACTTTGGGAGGCCCAGGCAAGCAGATTACCTGAGGTCAGGAGTTGGAGAATTAGCCAGGTGTGGTGGCAGGCACCTGTAATCCCAGCTGCTTGGGAGGCTGAGGCAGGAGAATCACTTGAACCCAGGAGGCTGAGGATGCAGTGAGCCAAGTTCTCACCACTGCACTTCAGCCTGGGCGACAGAAGCAGACTGTCTCAAAAAAAAAAAAATACAATACAGTGTGATGAGTGGACTAATAGTGCAGGCCTGGGGAATGTGCCGCAGTGGAATGGAGAAACCAGCCTGGCACTGTGGGCGAGGAGTCAGGCTGCGGGAGGAAGAATTCTCCTAGGAAAGGCATTTGAGCTGGGTCCTCAAAGATGAGCTCCTAAGTAGAGGCACTCGTAAACAGTTGGAGTTATAGACAGAGGGGAGTGGGTTATGGGAGGGCAACCCATGTGGAGGAGCAGCGTGCACCACTGCCTTAAGAGCACTGTATGTTTGGAGCATGGAAAACCCTTGACATGAGGCAAATCCATCAGCGGAGAGCTTCAGGCCCCCAATTTTGAAAATTAACTATTTCCTTTAGTTTGTGGATGATGTTCTTACATTTTATTTCATCAGAGATTTAGAAGTAAATTTCTATAGTTTGTTATACTTTAGAAATTTTCTAGAAAGACAGGTGACCTAAAAAAAATGGGTGTTTTCTTCTAGCCCTACTATTTGTGTTTTTGTGTGTATTCGTACACCTTTTACCTGTTGATAGTTTCTTTTAGCTATTGGAGAATCTTATCTCCAATAGCTAAAAGAAACTATCAACAGGTAAAAGGTGTACGAATACACACAAAAACACAAATATGACCTTAAAAGGGTCAGAAATCCAGAATTTGGATGCTTTGTTGAAATGTAAAAATTAAAATATCTTTGGTAGCTCCAAAGAACCTAGATAGAGACAGCAGTAGTGTTTCGTTAGGTGCTATTGATGTGATTTTAGTTTAAAACAATGTTTCTAATAAATGTTTTCCTGAGCTGGTGAAAAAAGAGCAATCCTTCACCAAAGGTACCCTAACACATTAGAGCAAAAGCCATGTTTGTTACCTTTGACTGGTCAGTTGAGGCAGATCAACAGTTTACATGCTAGAACTGAAAAGCCTTTATCATAGTTAATCATGTCTTTATGTAAGTGTGTTAGTTGTTGACATGTGGGCTTTCTGTACTTTAGTAGAGATCTTTGTCAACTTTTGTTCCTATAGCCAGTACTGTTCTCAATTTTTAATTGTTGCCTTGCAATATGGCCTGATATCTCATAGTACCAACCCTGACTCATGGCTCCTTCAGACTATGCTCTTGTCTCCCTGCCTATGTTTTTCGTTTGAGCCACAGATTATTGTGTCAAGTTCTATGTTGAGTTTTTGTGTTAGTCAAGATGGACTACATTATGCTGTGGAAACAAACAACCTAAATCGCAGTGGTTTAAAACAATTATTTCTGTCCACACTGTGCATCCCTTATGGCTTAGCTGGGGGGCCCCTGTGCCTCCATCATGATGGTCCTCGCTCAAGGAACCAGGCCCATGGAGCAGGTACCCGCTGGAACATTGCAGAGAGTGGGAAGAGTGTGGCTCTTGAAGCCTCTGCTCAGAAATGACAGAGGTCACTCCTGGTCACAATTTATTGATAAAGTACAGTACACAACCAAGACTAACTTCAGTGGGGTGGGGGAGACGCATCCTTCCTAGGGATGGAAAGTAGTTATTGGTGGTGAACTCTCACACAGTTTATC